GACAAATAAGAATTTCCAAAAACATGCGTTGGCAAAGACAACTAGTTGTGGACCAATAAAGGCAATAGATGGCCATGTGATCCATTAACAAACATAATAATTGATTTTTGAGCACAATGTCTAACATCACAGCCGTATTACGAAACACAAGAGTAATTGGCAGAAAAATGGCAATGAAAACTAATAGGTTGTTCTATATGTGACAGTAAGAAAAAAGGAGAATGAATTTATAAAAAAAGGATTTTAACAAATAAGGGTCTTTCTGATAAGATTAGAGAGAGAATTTCTAAAAGAAATTATTGAAATAGTTTGACTTGAACAGAAAAGAAAATCTCTGGCAATCCGATGGACATCATATGCCAGGTTTTCCTTCACATGATGATTGTACCAGTCTTCGCCAGTTGCAACATGCCAATGTTCAACCAAAAAAGGCATAAAATGAAGAAAGTTTTCTAACTCGGCTCAAAAGGCACACATCTATGATCCAGTTCACTAGCGGATAGTGGATAAGTGCATCATTCTTTGGTAAACCTCAAGGCATGCCAGGAGTTATCTTTCATGCTAGTTCTACACTGTCTTCTGTTTCTAAATGATGAGATGGTTGATGTAAGATGATATCCGATGGTTGAACTTCGAACGGGTGCATCTCATATCTTCCACTCGATTTAAGCTTTTAATTTTTGGAGAGTTAAAATTGTACATTTGACCACAATGCAATTTGAATGAAAACTATTCAACATTCAAAAATGATTGTGAAAAATTAATCTCAAATTCAAATTTTTTCATGTGAAAAAGAAATCATTTTAGTGAATAGGAAAAAAATAGATTTGCAAAAGTATCTAACCATTTTAAAGGCCTATTTTGAAGAAAATTAAAGCATTCAGGAACAGATATGTTGAATAGATATGCAAAGTTGAAGACATTACAGGAGAGACAATTTGGTTAGTTGAAGGGTATAAATAAGAGTTGGTGACCCGTTTGATTCATTCCGGTTTTGGGTATTTTGTAAAAAGGTCCGTAATACAAATATACCCCCATTACCAAGAGGCATTGGTAGATTTGTGTCATCGAGTTGGATGAATCATGATGTTAAGTAAGATCAACTAGCCATCAATGTTGAGTAAAAATTTCCTTATAGAGATGGAGTAGACAAATCAACTTATGCTCGAGTTGGATGAGTAACTATGCTAAGAGATTAACTTATAAATTGGGATTGAGGTGAATGTTTTCTATAAAGTCGAGAGAACTTTATGGACCTTTTTTGAACCTTTATGAACCTTTTTTCCTAGATTGCTCGCATGGATTTCGTGTTCACTTAAGCTATTACACAGCATTAAAGAGGCTCAGAGCTTCCATGTGCGGTTCAGGGTGGACGGTATAAAAAGAGGCCGTCTAAACATCCACACTTTCTAAATAAGACAAAAACCTGTTCTACAAGAGGACAACCCGCCTGTGGGCAATCAGAACCTCAACGCAGGATACCTTGTTGACATTTTGACTCTAATGCAACGTTTTAGATCTTGTGCTATACTCCGGTGATCCTTTGCCGATCAGTGCACGCACGGATTCATCGTGTCCCAGATCACAGCCGGCCCTACTCAATGAAAACTCATCGGTTTTGAGAAACGGTCCTTGGCACTCCTTGCACAGTTCACTCGCGTTGATCAATAGCCTTGGCACTCCTAGCGCGTTGTATGCTGTATCATAAACATTCTTACTGTACTTTGTCCCTCACGCTTCAAGCCCTCTCCGTTTCCAGGACCGCAGGGTGCGGTAGGAGCATCCTACATCCATGCTCCTACATCCCGGAGCATTCCCCAATTTCCGCTATGTGGTTAATATCAAGAGAACAAGGGGCACATTGTGTAGCAAAAACGATGGGAAGACCATCAAGCTGTATAAATACGAATGATAATTCCAAACGAAGGACCTAGAGTCTAGGCCCTAGACCCTAGTCTATTCCATAGCTATATTCAGAGTACTCTGTATATTGTTCAGATGATAACAAAGATTGTTAGACATGATGTGTATGAAGAAATGTACAAAGATTTGACTCGTTTTGCAATTTGGTCTGTGAGTATAAAAATGTTTGGATGTTAAGGATCATGAGATTTCGAGTCTTGTTTCAAAACCATGCGGACCATATGGAGCCACCATTCCCATATTTTTTACCAAGCTTGGTAATTCAAGAATGTACATCAAGATTATGACCAAATATGTTGACATTGGAGTAAGGAAACTTCTCTGCATGCCACCATAGATTTAGTTATAGCTAGATAACATTAAGGACATCCATCAGCAGATGCGACTAATGAGTCTGTATTACAAGATTCAAGTTTTAGCTTGGTTTGAAGAATGCTAAATGTTTTAGATCTCTGGAGTCACAACATTCAACATCATGCATAATGAAACTTCTCCGGGAATTGAATGAGGTGCACACAATAAAAGCAATTATAAGTGGACAAGTAGTGTTGCTAAATGAACAACACTAGTATCTTGTGTCCATTGATCACTTCTATGATGAAGAAAGTTTTCACATTGAAGATTTTAATACAAGCAATCAATGGAAACAAAATACACATACATCTTAGAGAAGATGTAACTTTAGATGCATATTATATTCTCATGTACTGGTCTCACGACAAGATACTCACATGATGCGTTTCATTGATTTCTACCAAGGCCTTGATGATGGATATGTAAAAACAATAGTGATAACATTCTTTCAAAGATTATGTAAAGAATGCCAGTCGTATGAGGATCTAGAGGGTCCGACACTCTTGGATCAAAGGCATTTGATAATATGGTACAGACTTAAACCTCCCAATTGTGTCATCTCTTATGAGTGACATACTCTCATTAGTGATGTAAAATTCCAAAACCATTAGTATATAACTATTAAATCTACTCAATAAGAACGGTACGTCATTATTCCCAATAGTGACATGATATTTTTCAATAGTGACAATGTCAAATAAAATTTTGGATTAAAAATTCCTATCATGATCACAATACATAGCTATGAGACTTAGAAAAATGTGGAATAAATTAATTTTAAGGTATAGCTCAACAATTCACTCTTTTTGAGCTTTAGTAAAATAATTCGTTACATATATTACCATCAATTTTTTCACTCAAATTTTCGTATATCAATATGAATTCAAATATAATTATAATGTTTATGTTAATTGTCGTGAACAATACAGATGTACAAATGAATACGATTTTGAAACCAAACAAAACATTTAAAGAATATACTAGGATTGATATAATGTAGAATAAGAAATTAAGAATAAGATAAGAAATCTATAAGTTTTTTTAAAAATAATTGACATCTCCCAATACTGACATCTAACCCCAACACCAATGTATGTTACTATTAGGAGGTAATATTACAATTATGCACCTCCCAACAATGACATTCGATTCTAACACCAATGTATATTACTGTTACAAGGTTATACGCACTTTACTCTTGTGAGTGACACCTCACAATAGTGACATAAAACCCAAGTACCAATACATGTCACTATTGGGAGGTTTAACTCTTTAGTGGCTTTGATATTGGTGCAGAATCACCCATGCAAAAAAAATATTCAGATGTGATGAGGAGAGGAAAATAGAAGAATAGCTTTGCTCCTTGCTTTTCGAGAGTGAGTTTGTAATCATATCGCGGTTATTCATTGGAGTAGCCGGACTCGACAATGCCAGTCGGGGAGGACCGTCCGAGAGCCCAAACGAAGCAACTCTGTAAATTTTATCATCAAAAAACCTCGAAATGTACAAGATAGGTCCTCGTTAAAGGTGGACATCATATGATGTCCATAGAAAAAGAAATATTATAGGTGGTCTCGAGTGGAACATGTTCCATCATCTACAAAGGTCTGGAAGTTATACTCAAATTCATTTTGTCTATCTTTCCATCGTTCTTTCTTTAGTACAAAAGGGGAAAGGTGTAATCGAGAACGTGGACAAAACCATGACTTCTCTTTCAACTAATTTTCAACAAAAACATAATATTTAGCTGTTAGGAGGAAAACGATCAAATTTTAATTTTACTTCCATCAATATCCAAAGAGTTCAGTCCTCTCTGCTAGAGAGGATAATCAATACCAAGGCGTACATTAAATGGTTCTATTGTAATATTACTTCAAGAAGATGAGTAGGGGCTTGTTTACATGTAAAATTCAACCTTATTTACGCTTCTCATTCTGAAGAACAAGAATTTGAAGAGCTAATTTTTGCTTCGAAACGTATCCATGCACAAATAATAATTCATCACATGCATAATAACATTCAAGTACAGATACCCATGCGCTTTGAATGTTGTTCAAGTAACATTCATACCATTTCGTTCATGTACAATCGAACGCTGTGAGCTTTTTGTCGTCTGGAAATCACTTGCGAACAATGAATTGAAAAATCGGTCGGAAGCCGAATGTGCAGAGAACTTTGGCTACTTTAAATTACTGTGTGTGAGCTTGTACCTTCCTCTATTCTAGTTTTTGTCCTGGCTAGGACAACAATCGCTACTTGTTTTCTAATTCGACTTTCATGCACTTTGATTTGATTCAACCTTGAGTTATAACAGTATCCTGGTACACTCATTCCCAAAGCAAACATAGCAATCGTGATGTAGCCGACGAAGTTCTTGCACGATAAATGACAGTTGCAAGAACCATGAAGTTGCTCTCGCAATTGAAGGCTCCGAGCCACAAGAGAACCTTGAAGGCCTCGCCTTCCAGCAAATGCAGCTTGAAGGTCTGCACAGCGAGGCCAAATACAAGTAGTACTGGGTACTCGGCAGCGAACCTTGACCATAAAGAATCATTGTCTTAAAATGGAAGCTCCCACATGCCACTAGCAGCCTGACAGTATAAAAATTCAACGTCATTATTCAGATTGGATTCATCGATCTTCGACCATCTCCAGGTCTTGCAGTTATGTTGTCTTGGTTTATTGACCCGTATCAGTTTGAAATCTTCCATGGCACTTGATCTGTCCGAAAAGATATTCCGCAAGGGATGTATTACAGACACCCGATCTACTAAAGGATAGATACATCCGTTGCATTTGTATATCTCGAGTTCTCAAATTCCATGTATAATTCAATCTTGCTATCCTACTGCTTAATCTCAACCGTTAGTAAGACTGGACTTGAGTAAAACGGTTGACGATTGTGGCGATTGCCGTGAGGCCACTTTAGTTCCTCTAAAAATATCGTATCTTCTGAGAAAGCCTGGCAATTCGAACCTTCAGGTTAGCTTGTATCTCAGAGTTGAAAGACTCAGAGAAGAATTCATTGTTATTTCATCAACAAGCTTTATCTTCCTGACGTTTCCAGTGTTCTCGTCACCGGTCGTTGTAGATTGAAAACTTTGGAAGTCACTGGTAGAATCAGAGAGTTCACCGTTGCAATCAATCGCCTGTTCAACGAGCACATGGAGATTCTATGATTCTGTTAAATCGGACTCAAAGCAACCCTATTTATACTTTGCCCACTTACAAACAGGTGTAGATGTTTGCGATTGGATCAAGTCAGGAATTTCTGAGAGATATTGGAAAGAATAGTGCGAAATCCTGCAAGTGCAATACCCTGGCTTGAAGCTCTAGTCTCCCCACTATGGGTTTTGGGTGTTAGTGTATGAAGAGATCCAAAGAGAATCCAGTATGACTCTTGAGTATGCTCTCGAAATTCACCAAATTCTTACACCAACTTCTTACACCAAATGTGTCTAAACGAAATTTGGTGAATGTCGAAAGGATACTCAAGATCCAAACGGGGAAAGGGAAGATCCTCGAATAGATACGCCAGCTTCAACTCTTAACTCTGACTGAAATGGACGCCATCGAGCGAATCATACTCTCTCTGGCATGGCAACCTCTTGCCAAAAGTCGGTCGATGGCAGATAGTCCGATGATAAGGAGGATAGTGTTGTGTTTCGAGTCTACTGCTGAGTTGAGCACGCGCTGATCTTGATAGCGAGGACGATGCGTTCCTGGCATCACTCAGAGCTTTGGAGACCGTGCCCAGGCGCACGTGGTGGGGGTCGCTCGCAAACACAGCGAATCCATCATCCCACGACTCCATCCCCTTCGGAAGCAGCTGCCAGAGCATGGAGCCGACTCCTCCGCCGCCTCTCTCGATGGACGAGTATACGCTTTTGTACACCGTCCAGTAAACCTCTTACAGATGCACGGGCTGGTACCCACCGACGCGATTGCTCTGGCCAAACTCCCCGAACAGGATCGGCATTTTCAGGACCTTGATTGCATCGGGAATGTGGATGTTCGTACAGATTCGTTGGAATATCAGTTTGGCTGGATTGATCCAAGACGTTAGCCTGTGGTCAACGAGCAATGATATATCACCAGCAAATTCTCAAACTTTTTGCTGTCGGTCTTCGCGCCTGCCACAGCGGAGGATCGAATCAACACAAAGTACTATGCCCCATGGCCAGAGTACTTGTCTGCACTCGCTGAGAGAGACACAGTACCGTAAAAATGCATAGTTTCAGCATGGGTAGGATCAGTTATGCAGGAAAGCTCTGTCATCAACAGTTTTTCTAGGAGGTAAAGTGCCCCGCTAGCAGGGAGATCATAGAAACAAGGAGAAGTCGTTTGCACCCACAATATGAGATCGTCCACGGTCAGTAGCTTAACATATCAACTACTAGAGACCCAAGGAATTTCTATGCTGGAGCATGCACCAAACCACCGACGGAAGCTGGAGTGACATTCTCTCTAATTCTTAAACTCGTCCACGTCATGCTTTGAACGGACTTTGAATGATCAACTTATTTTGTACCCTAGTTTGGTCCCATCTCACTTACTCCTTCGGTTTCATCGATGCAAGGATTGATACGGTCTTCCCTTCTTTCCACTCATGTAGTCACTCCACAATCCTTGACTTAATAGGCAATGGACTGAGTATGCACTCCTTTTCAAGACAACAACTGACTGGCAAGCAAAAGCAGGCTTCCGAACTCTGCCACCCATCTCACTTCGTCAGTGGTTTCATCTGATGACTCCAGGCAACACAAAGCAATAAAAGAATGTACTTCACGAGATCGTGAGTCATAGATTCTTGACCCCACAATAGTTCTCTACATAGGCTACAAAGGCTATGATGTTTCTGGATCTGGTTCTAAGTGGTTACAGTCAACGCTCGCAATGTGTTCTAACCGATTACAACTGCCGCCACTCAACTATATAGTTTTGAACGAACACAACGGTTTCGAACTCCTCCTTCAAGTGTTAGAGAGCTTCCTGGACACCTCTAATGCTCAATTCATTGTGGACCTCGAGTTTGAGTTAGCAGGAAAGTAAATCTCCACGTCAAAGGTTAGTAAAGAAGACAAGCTTCAAATTAGTGAAGTTTGTCAGTATCTCTATCATTATTCACTATACGACATATCTATTGTCAGTATATATAATGTAGTCAAACTTCCCCAAATCCTTCAAACCCTGTGAGAGCTGATTCACTTTCTTTTCTTCTGTTTGGTTACATTTCCACTGTAAACCCAAGAATCACTCCACCTTGTATGCAGTCGCCACGTAATCAATCGCTCTGTATAGAAAGATCCAAATATCAACCCCCTTTGCGATCTTCCTCTTCCCACTTTCCCACTTTCCCACTGGGGCTTGACTCACATTCTCAAACATCTCGATGCATGTCATAATACTCGTTTCATCCCTGTTCCCTATTTTCCACTCATAATCTGATATGTTCACTGCGCTTATTTACATTCTTGAATTTCCACTGTGCTTGCACCGAAAGATTTTCTGGCAGTATATATTACACATTTACAGCTAAAAGGTTCAAGATTTAGCCATTTGCATTTTCCTATGTGTAAACTACATTCTTCAGAACTTTTCCTCTTAACAACATTGGTTTTTGACAATTCCCCTCCTGTATACCGCGTTTTCTTGAAACCGGCGTAGTCTTTTTTTCTCTTTAGCTATCTAATTTCCATGCAATACTCTGCTTACTTTCATTTTCCTGACATCTGCTTTCGATACAATGTGTCGAGAGCATTTTCCTTTGCATAATACACTTCTTCTTTCATCTTGGACTACAGATATAAATTCACATAATGTTCTGTTTAGTTATCCTAAACCCCTATCCTCTCCCAATGCGTTGCGGAATAAAAGAGTGAGAACCAGAAATTGAAAAAAACCTTGAAAAAATTAAATCCAAAGGAACATGGTTTCTAAGATGCCTCAAAAGGCACACCGTCATGATCCAGTTCACTAGCAGATAGCAGATTAGAGCATCATTCTTTGATAAACCTCGGGGGCATGCCAGGAGATTTCTTTTATACTAGTTCCACACTGGCTTCTGTTTCTAACATGATGAGAGGGTTGATATCGGATATCAATATCAGATGGTTGATCTCTGAACGAATGCTTCCCTCATCTTCCATTTGATTTATGCTTCCTTATTTTTGTAAAATTGAAATTGTATATCTGATAACAATGCAATTTTAATGTATATATTAAACATTCCAAATATGATTGTGAGAAATTAAATATCAAATTCAAATGTATGCATCTAAAAAGAATCATGTTTGTCAAACGGCAAAATAAAATATGCAAAACGACATAAATTTTTTCAATGGCCAACTTTGAAAGAAATTAAGGTAATCGGAAACAGATGAGGTGAATAGATATACAAAGTTGAAGAGGTTACACATGAGACAATCGGGTTAGTTGAACGCTATATAGAAGAGTCGCCAACCCGTATGTTCTATTCCGGTTCTAGGTAATTTGTGGAAAAGTAAGATAAAAATAAGGTGATTGATTAGTAAATAATTATATATGTATCAAAAAATGAGAAGAGCTTCCCACCATCTCAAATGTGCCATGAATGATTGGACATAAGTCAGAATTGCAAACAAAAAATATTTTGATGGATTTTTGCGGTAAATAATTACCGAAGTACCAAGTAACATGAATACATTTGTGTCATCGACTTGGATAGGTCACAATGTTAAGAGATCAACTGGCCGACCTAAGTTGATTGGATATTTTCTTATAGAGATGTAGTAGACAAATGAAGTTATTCCCCAGTTGGATACGTGACTTTGCTAGGAGAGTAACTTATACAATAGAGTTGAGAGGAATTTCCTCTATAAAGTCAACGGGACAAATGAATTTACTCCCCTATTTCCGCTATGCGGTCAACATCAAAAACGATCGGAAGGTGCTCGAGCTGTACAAGAACAAAAATAATTCAAAACCAAGGGCTTATACCCTAGTCTATTCTTTTGCAATATTCAGAAGATAGTATTTCGAAGGTGGTATTTGTGTCACGATGTATATGAAGAAATGTACAAAGGTTTGACTCATGTTCTATAGTTTGGTCTATGAGTATAAATAGATTTTTATGTTGAGGGTCGTAAGATTGTGATCTTTGTTTCATTATCATGCGGCTCATATGGTGCAACATTTCCCAGATTTTTTACCATTCTTGGTAAATCAAGGAAATCAATTCAAATTATAATCAAATATTTTGTAATGAGCGAATAAACTTCTACGCATGGCACCATAAACTTTGATAAAGCTAGTTAACGTTCAGGACATCCATCAGCACATGGGACTTATGAGTATGTATTACAAAATTCAAGTTTTAGATTAATTTGAAACATGCTAGATGTATCAGAATCTTTCGAGTCACAGCGTTCAACATCACACGTTTTGGCAATTCTCCGGATGTTGAATGAGGAGCACACATTAGAGGTAATCATAATTGGACAAGTCGTATTGAGAAATGAACATCAATAGTGTATTGTGCTCATTGTTCACATACATAATGAAATTTTTCTTCACATTCAAGCTAACGATGGAAGTCAAGGACCCTTGAATTTTAGAGGAGATATAAGTGTAGATGTGAAAAAAGATTCGTATGTAATGTTCTCTGGTGACAATTCAATGATGAAGATGGTAATTTTTTTAGCAGCCAAGATCTATTTCAACCATACTGTTGAACTATCTACCTTCTTCCTTCTGAACTTCCTTCCTTCTTTGGAAGTACTTCGCGAAAAATACCCTTTCAAATCCTCGTAATCAGTACGAGGACTTGAAAGGAACAGGTGTCAGAAGGAGTAAACCAAAATACTTTGTATCGTATCTTAGAAGTATCTACATTGTGATAACATCATGCTAAAATACGTTCCGTGGTATAAAGAGCTTCTACTCTTTGATATAGATTCTTATTTTGAGTTTAGTCTCTGACAATCTCTGTTCCTTTTGACTCATTTGTAAAATAATACAGGTCAAAATGGACATTATGTACTGGTCATCTACTTTCAATGATGGGATCTTACCATGAGTTTACGTTAATTCTTGAGTTTGAATCAACTCTATGGGTATGTATAAACATAAGGTTTTTTGTTAGCAGAAAATTAGATTATGTTTTGTTTATAATGTAATGTTTGTATTTCTATATGCATAAGGCAGTGTTCCAGGGCTGAATTTTGAGAAAAACATCTTAAGCCGAAAACCTATTCTCTATGTGGTTGCTAGCCTATACTTAGTCCCTTAAGTACTATAGTAGTACAAATGGTAAAAATTAGTTTCAAACTCTGTTGGTTGCATTCCATATATCATCAATTTTTTAAAAAAATTGGACTGACAATGATATTGATAGTTACTTCGATCTGTCTTTGAGGCCAGTTTTCTATGGTGAAGTTCATCGTCATTCTAGAGTTTCTCATCATTCAGTTTTTACTTAGCTGCCGTATATAACGAGGAATACATGGGTTATTTCAACATGTGAATTTTTTTCTTCTAGTGAGACTGCTGGACAGACAACGCCATCCTCTATTTGAAATCGATATGAATATGAAAGAAAGTCATGCTTTCATTCAACAATTTTCTTTCAAAACATTATGCATGATTAACTACAAATTTAAAAATCATAAACTATACATAATGTTATTTACTCTTAACAAAAACCTTATATTATCCATACCCTTAGACTTGATCCCAACTCAAGCAATAAAGCGAAACCATGGTAAGATCCCATCAAGTACTATATGGAGTAAATAAGGGTAACATAGAGCTAGACCTGAAGACAAATAAGTTTGTCGCGAAAGTATGGATGAGAGTTATTGAGAAGATATTGATAAGAGTTATCGAGATCAAGAACACTTTGCTTGGTGTTGTTATCATATAATTGGAAAATTAGGACAGAAAAAGACGAGGTGCTGTGGACTCTAACTGATGCCATGATGATGGAAGCAGAGCAGCAATGATAAGACGTGTATTGTGGATTTGTTAAAAATAGGAAATCTTCTGATTAGGATTCAGTGTAAAGTTCAGGGACTTCGATGATCCAGAAGATGAGAGGCTGCTCACTACATGGACGAAACCACTGTCCGGTAGATTAGATGACTTGATTGGTCCGGGAAACTTCTAAAGGACATGACTAAGAGCCAGAAGGAACGAAGGTGCAGAGGTCCCACAAGAAAAATAGTAATACAGAGTTAAACCTCCGTATATTGGTGCTATGGTTTTACTTAATTATTGGGAGTTGTTACTCACAAGAGTAAAGTGCCTAACCTTGAATATAACCTCCTAATATAACATACATTGGTGTTAGAGTTAGATGTCACTATTGAGAGTTGTCATTAAAAAAATAAAATCTCATAGATTTATTTTAGTACATTAGATTAGTCCTAGGACATTCTGTAAATGTGTTGATTGACTTCATTTGCACATCAGTATTGTTCACAACGATTAACGTAGGAATTATAATTGAGTTTGAATTTAAATTAATATACAAAAATTTCAATGAAAAAATTGATAATAATGTATGTAGCGATGTATTTTATTGAAGCCTAGAAAGAGTGATTTGTTGAGATAGACCTTTAAATAAAATTATTGCCAAATTTCTAAGGAATTTGGCAAGAATGATAGGAATTTTAACTCCTAAATTATATTTGAAACTGTTACTAGTGGATAGCATCATGTCACTATTGGGAATAGTGACTTACTGTTCATATTGTGCAGATTTTCAAGTTAGAGACTAAAGGTTCTGGAATTTTACGTCGCTAATGAGAGCATCTCACTCATGATAGGTGCCACTATTGGGAGGTTAAACTCTGTAGTAGACTTAGAATGCTCACACTCCACTCAACAACGTTGCAGGAAAAGAAAGTTTAGCCTTTGCAGTTGTAACGTAGGAGTGCAGGATATGAGAAATAAGATAACAATCATGGCATAAAACAATTACAAAAAATGGTCACCTCAATGTCAAAGAAAAACAGCAATCGCCTTCGAACTGCTTGTAGGTTTGAATTCGAATATTTTGACATTGATGCTGCGAACAATCTCAGGAATGGAAGTACTTTTCAAGACCTACTTATAAAAGCCTTCATATTTTTTACTATATCTGAGTGTCATGCTCTCTCTATATTTGTGATATGGGAGTCATGTGACAAGATCCAAGTGTTGGGTACAGAGCAGCAAGAACAGAACGTGTACATGAAGTCGATGGCAGATGACTAGAGTCTGTTTCCATGGAATCATTTCAGCGTCGTTGGGAATTCCTCCTTTGATTTTGGAGGCCATGATTAAACTCGCTGGAAGTTAACCGACTTCATAATGAACCACTATGTTGTTGTCAACGCAACGGAATACGTGCTGCAGTGGACTGCGAACGTGGTAGGCATCCGATTCGCCAGATTAAGTCAGGACACATGATTGATGCGGCCTCCCTTGTGAGTTCGACGCTGCAGCATGACTGGCAACGACGCCAAACCAAGTCCATGGAAACAGGCCTAGTTCTCTGCTTACTTTGGGCAGCGCAAAATGCTCATCAAGGTAAATCAGTCCTCTGCATGCTTACTAATTAATTGCAAGGTAAATCAGTCCTTTGCATGCTCACTGATTGATTGCGTCTCTTTCTGATTTTGAGCAATACATATACCTGCAGACCTTACAACCGACACATTCAGGAGGTCGGCCAGAGAATCCTCATCCTCTGTATCGTGTCTCGTGTCGAGATGCGTAAATGCTCCTCAGTCCTACAGCTCTCTTTTGGGTTCTTGTCGTTCATCACCGACCTTATAATTTGCTGTTAAAACCATGACAGTAAATTTCAGGTTTGAACCTTCGATCTCGTTGAGATTTTAACTAATGAACATAAGGATCAAGGTCTAGGACATCTTCTGTTTTACTTTCACACTGAGTGAACGTGCTTGAGACAGTTTGACGCAGTCAACCAGAATCTCAACCGAGAAGCGTAAAGCCAATGCGATAAGATTGAAACAGAGACAAGCAATCAATCGAGCAAGTTGTCTCTTCGCTCAGAAGCACGATACCATCCCTTCGTGAAGAATGTTTCAAAAGTAGTGTCGACCAGATCTCATGTCTATTCCGAAGAATCCGAAGATAGAGGCCTTCTTTACATACAGAGCGTCTGAGTTTAACATACCGATGCACATCAGGAAATAATCATTGAATAGACATTCGCATGTGGTGTATATTTAATCCTGCATCTAATTTTTCTTGTTATGTCTCTCATGAATCATCGTGATCAAACTGAAACCATCTCAGCCGAATAAAAGGATATGGTTTACCTCAACAGTCATGGTTTCATAAGAAGAGAGACGGAAGTACTTGACATTCGAGACGTGGTGACCAGGATCCCATCTCCAGGCGTCACAAACAATTTGGCCAGTTGAAGCCCGGGGGAAACGTCGCAGCCACTATCCCTCTCGCTTGGGGAGTTTCGAATGTGAATGTGAATATGCTGCCATGCTTCCCTGGTCCACACAGAAGCCAGTTTCGTTGTCTTTATAGGTGGTGGTATTGGCGAATGGTGAGTGGTTAGAATCAGCTACTGTACAGAAAGTCCACAAGTTTGGACGTAATACAAAAGATCATCCCATGGTACTCTACCGCGCGCAGTTAGCATTGATTACTTCGCACCTGCAGAATGCAGCGAAGTAATACTCCACCTCTGTAATTTGCTGAACGGGTCATCACTAATAAATGACTCCACGGTGCCAGCATCAAGGGGTAGACACCAACGCACCGTGTGCCACTCCACGTAGGTCCAGGGTGGTCATCGTGTGATTTGACGAGGAAGGTCTTGGAAGAAAGCTGAAAGGGGCTGATGTATCATCACGCTCCATACCCTTGCACCAGTCCAATGGAAACTGTCGACGGCGAATGCGGTGACATTCTTTGGGGCCACAAATCCTTCCCGCGTACTATAAACTTACAGAAGAATCATTCTACAGAGCAAGAAGCTTGATCCTAGGAGTTCAGCTGATCACACGACATCTTTGTCTGAAGTACCATGTTCCATGCACACGTGACTCACGAGATGCTCACTTGATCATATTCTAAATGTATAAGGATCTGGAAAATATTCGAAAATATGTATTGTATTCTCCAGTCTCACTATGTGACGAGTTGCGAGGATAATGCTTGAAGACAGGCGTTGCCTGATGAGGCATGAGTTGCTTGACTCGGGTGTATTGATGAGAGTCCATATCCATTACATAGCTGTTTTCACGATGACAGTGCTACGTACTTTAGCATCGTGTAGTGGGCCCTGTATACCCAGTAATTGTAACAAATGGATTCTGAGATTAGATGGGACTCGATGTTCAACAGTGAAGCAAGTTGGGAGCTCCACGGCGAGCCTCACTGCCGGCAAGATGCAGCTGCTTGAACCAGTCCAGTAAGTATATAAGGACCTCGCTCAGCTTCAATTGGAGAGCTCGACTGATGTAGCAATACAAAAAACTTCTATCGTGAACTCCTCGGGTGAGTGCCGAACAAGGTGACATCTCGTCTGACATTCAATTTCTAGATTCTGGAAAACATTCTAGAACTACTGAATATTTTTTTCTTCAAATTTTGTGAGCACTATTAACCACTGCATAAAACATCGATAGAGTATTCTAGTATTCAATGTCTTTGACTCTGTTGGTGTCTGTATGATCCTGAGTGGCTGTATATAGGATCTCGCTTTCTTGACTGCAGAATCTCATTAAGAGAATCGCCTGCTGCTAGGCCAAGGCAGTCAAAGTCTTTGATTTTCTGCTATCTTCGATGTCCATAGATACGGGGATTTATATAGTCATGTCTGTCACATGTACGAGCATGGCGAAAGAACTATCTACTCCATGTCTTTGATCGGGCGATGGTGTCGTCTTCATCACTGTCGCTGACTGCACGGACCCAAGGATATAAAAATTGACTCGACAGTTTAGAAGATGGATAGAAGATTATCTTTTCTTGTTTTTTTTTGTATTTCTATACCTGTAAGTTGCAAAGGGGCTTTCAAATGTCTGCAGATCATTGTTTACTGATCTTTATGTTAGTGGTCCAAGCCAGAATGGTGCTGCTACTTGCGAGGTAGATTTCAGAAGCTAAATCTCACACGAAGGTTCTAATGCTCATGAGAACAATTTGATTGCAGATTATCAGGTTAAAGGCAGGATTCTGTAGCCATGGATTCCTTGAAGTTGATCTTCCTCGCATTGCTGTCGATTCTTAGTGTTTCAGAAGTGAAAGCAACGTACTACAGGTATTCAATAAACTATTATGAGGTCATCCCACTCTCCGACACAGTCGCGTTCACCCCGACGATAACCGATGCAATTCCAAACAAAGGAACAGGTTATGTGAAGAACAATGCCCTTATTTCAATCGACGGTCGCGTTCTCGGTCATGTTGGTGGAATCTACTTCTACCATGGACAAGACGTTATCGAGGATATCGTGACCATCACTTTCGGTGAAGACATGCAAGGAATTTGGGCTGCCAGCTCGATCAACCTGCGAGGCTTGTGGTACATGACTCCAGACGGTAATGCTGATCTGGATAACCAGGAGTTGGCCATCGTGGGTGGACAGGGCCATTTCAGAGGTGCCACGGGTTCTGTTTACTACCAGAGAGTTCAATCACAGCCTCAAACCATCTTCTATGTCACTTGCGATATCTATATACCTGATTTCCTCTTCTACGGTAAGGCAATCAAGGTCGATCTCGACCAGCAGTTCAAACCTGATTCCAAGCCTCAGTACCTTCCTGGACACCGTGATCTGATGATCCCAGGGATGACTGCGACTGCCTGAAAGTCGAAGTGCAGCTGCAAGACAATCAACCTCGCCCATAGTTTTACGAAATGATTCTGCTGGTGGTGTGACAAAGATATACGAATTTCATGGAGACTTTTTTCATTAGAAGTTTGTGAGCATAAGATATTCAGTATTTCTTTCTAGAGCTATTTAGTGTACATTCAAATACGAATATGTAGTTTCGAGAAAAAAGATCTTCACGCAAGCAATTTATGAGATTGTATGCCACTTACTCATTAGGTTGTTGGATGGAACGACACCAGGTACATCAGAATCTTTTTAAAAGATGTGTGAGACCCAAGACGCATCAGGCTGTGGCTAGTTGCTCACCTGTTTGTAAGCCCATGATAGAACAAGAAAAATTCGTAATGGGCGACAACGGGATGAATCCTCGTGTAGGGAGGATAGTATGTTCTTGTTCTCTGACAGCGTCGATTATCAATGGAAAATCTGTAGTATGTTTCTTTCACTCAAGACCTTTTGCTGTCAGTAGATGTCACCATCTACTTCTCGTCATAACTCATTTTCTGGATGTCTGATGCGTTCGCTAAAAGGCTTCCTGCTTCTCTTGTCTCACAACTTCTCATCTACTTCTCTGCGTTTTCCGTCTACATCCCATTGCAAGCCACGATGAAATCTACCTCAACTGTCAAGATATGAAGACTTCTGGTAGCTCACTGAGTGAACTGGATTGAGGAGAATTGAGGAGAGTTGGAGCCTTGTGCAGGAAACTACCAGAGGGATAGGTGACATGACGTTAGGTTTGAGGATGATTACAAAAACAACGGATACAAGTGTGCAATTTGCTCGTAATGCATGCGCACAATTTTATTGGTCGAATGATTTGTTGATTCACAAGATGTGTCAGATAGGAGAGAGCGTTCCAGAGAGAAATATGCATGAATTATTCAAAGAAACTTCTATGCCAATATCAGAATTCGTTATACTAGAAGTTCAATCGGATTTCTGAAAATTCATTGTGAACAACTTGCTTGCCTTGCGATGCCTTGCATTTCAGAGACTTCAATGACATGAATTTTCACAGAAGGATTCTTCTGCAAAAAGGTTCCGGAAAATGATGAAACTGAGTTTGATTGTGGAGTGAGATTAAGCGTAAAGATATTGAAATGTGTCAGAAAAACCTCGTGATTAATGGATCTGATAGCAACCTAAACTTCCGGAGGTCAGGTGATGCTAACAACACCAGAAAAGTACTTGATCGTTAAAAGAAAGTCATGGAAGGAGCATGACGCACATCCTTCAAAAAGACAAGCTGCTGGATGGTGAGGAGAATTATTTTAACTTCAAGCACCTATCTGAAACTTATGAGCGAGGAAAGGACAAGGAGGTGGAATTTCAGTTGGACTCAAAGACGAGCAGAAAAAAGATGACACACCAATTCAAGCAGATTGCGCTGCGTAAGAGACTGGAGAGTCGGAAACATAAGAGTTTGGAGTGTAATTACCTTTGTATGTCGAAAAAAGACATGATAAGCCAATGATGGATGAAGCTTGCATTTTAAAGTTTTCCAAGTCAAGAGTTTTGTTGGTTTTACTCATGAGGATGTTAACCACATTCATTTTCGTTACCGAGTTGTTCTAAGCACGAAATAGACCCTATAAAGGTTGAAGGTTGTCCGGTGCATAATTTTGGGTACAAATAAGGTTTAGGTATCTAATCAACCCGAGAAGCTAAGTGAAAAATACAATCAAACTAAACAAACTTATCATAAATAAAACAACATTTATTGGCGACAACATATTTTTGGCGAGAAGCAGATCAACCAGTGAAGAAGATTTCAAGCTTCAATAGAGATCTATCATAAATTAAGAATATCCAGGATTAAGGGATTAGAATTTGAAAATTCAAGATTTTCTTGTACAAAATTAGTGAAAGTTTAGGGTACAAAATTACAAAATTACAAAAGTACAAAATTAGGGAGTTTTCTGTAGATATTATTATCTCAACAGGCTCTGTGGAAAAACGATAAAAATCTAAAGAAGGGGAAGTTTTACACACAACTTTTTTTTGCCTCAGCAGTCTTGAGTGAGAACAGAGTGTCAAAGACATCAAACTTTAAAAGATAGTGTGTGATAATAGACTAGCTACTGATGAAAGGTGAACTTCAAAGATTCATTTGTTTTGGAAATCTTGAAAGAAACAAGGTTGTTGCACAAAATAAGTTAAAGGGCATGGATTGCTTTATTATCTTTTTATCTGACACATCATAATTGTCATTTTAGACAAGCTATTATCATGCTATCAGTAATAAACCTTGAGATAGATGAAACTCTTCTGCATTCTCAACATAGATAAGAAAAGAATTGCAATAAATTACTATCTTCATGAAGAAACTTAGTATGTTGCTGTTTTAGTAAAGGATTTTATAATTGAACACAGTAGTTATAAGCATTGACTGTTATTTATAAAAAATTTATCGTAGAATTTTGTAATCCAAGAGAAAATCAGATTTCAAAAATGAATTAAGTTTTCAAAAAAACGTGAATACCGCTGAAAGAATTGATTTAATTTTTTAATTAAGTGAAAAATAGAGTTGACATTGGATGTGCTTAATTATTTATTGATGTAAAAAACTGTAAAATGTAGTTGACAAATAATATGAAAATTGAAGAAGAGAGTGTTAAACAAAAAATTGCAGACAAATGGTTGCGGTGCTTATATTTTCAGCTCATAAATTGCTCTCAATATTCTATGGATCTGATTATGCAAGTAAATTCTTCACCTTTGACTAAGTATTTCTTTATCGCTCCTAACCTGCGATCTAGAATTCTAGTATTCCAAGAAATTTAACAAACAAAGATTGTAAAATTTAAAAATTGGAGCGTTGACTATTTCCTAAAATCCAATTTAGTTTTTTTGCCTGTTCAGTGTTATAAATGATTCCAATGTTGGTCTTTTCATGAAAATAATTTTTGAACCATATACTTAATCACAGATTTTTCATTTTCATTTTGAAAATGTGTAATAACCCACCAAAGGCTAAAACTGCAGTATGGTGGTAAAAAGATCGAACCCACAGGGACAGAGGCAACACACAGAGTAAAAAGTGTCACGTTTAACAGACTTTTGTAGAGTTTGAATTCTCAGGCGACTGTCACTCCCAGAAATACTGCAGTGCTCGACTCGGAGACCACTCGGAGGATGCTCGACTCGGAGGATGCTCGGAGGATGCACAGTGCAGCGTAGTCACTCAACACACACACACACACACCTGAAACTGGCAAAAGCACAACTCGGAGGTCGGTCAGGACCTCCGCTTAAGATTTCAGGGGGAAAGTGTCTCAAAAGTTCACTTAGAGGCTCTGCAGGTAGTGACTCCCACTCCGGCTTTTACAGCCCTTCCGCAAGGAACTAGCGTAGGGACCCGGACTGGACTTCCCACTTCGGAACGAAGTCCCTCATACGCCGCGGACGTCACCCTCGACTCACACCAAGCGCAGAGAGTACAGGCCCGACTGAGAACTTAACTGAGACACAATCCAGTAACACACACACACAACCTGAATTGCAAACCAAGGCTTACACGAAGTAACAAAACTTCACTTTGGCATTCAGGGGAAACTTCCCGTAGGAGTACAATCAGGATATGTCACTCGAAGGAGTAAGGGGGAACTGTTCAAGTCTCTAACTCGCAACCGGCTCTGAGCATCAGAAATCACCCGCATGTGCAGATCCGCACTACTCAAGTCTCTAACCGGTATACTAGCTCTGAACATTCAGCCGAAGGCCTTCAGCTACAACATACGGTAACTTCGCTATGCTGCAGCTTCTCTACGTGGTGCCAGGACCAAATGCACAAACACGCCAAGAAAGTGAGTTCCTGATCTGCACTTCCGAAACTGGAAGAGTCCCAAGGCAAAACGCCTTGATTAACTTTATACCCTCTAAGGTCCTAACTAACACTACGCTATCCTATCTGCTACTCGCAACACCTGCACGAAACCAAACTACACTACTGCACTTTGCAGATCCGGTGCTGCGCCTCCTGCGCGCCGGACTGCCTCGCTCTCTATCTCTACCTTGCCAATCTTCCGACCGGCTGCGCAACCCCAGTCGCCGAAGGGCTGCAGTCACTTCCGACTCTAAGTGCGCCATAGTGTCGCGCGCACCCGACAAGAAGGCTTCTAATTTCCGCGCTACTCGCCGCCGACTCCGACAGTCACCCTCCGTCAATGCCGCCGCCCGAAGCTCGAACTCCCTGAGTGTGATCTTCTCTTGAGCTGCCACCTCCCAATGGGCGTATCCTTTTAGACAGTGAGTCACCCGCGTCGCCAACTCTTCTCGCGTCCGGCAACTGCCTTCCACCTCTGCTAGCTGCATTTCCGCATCTGCGCGCTGCGTCCTCAAATCCGCGCACTCGGATTGCAAGTTGCGCAACAACTCCTCATACTCCTTGCGTGTACTTTGACTTTCTTCTAATGCGCGCTTCTGGCGCGCAAGCTCCTCTGTTAAGATGCGGTTTTGTCTCCGCTCTTCCTGCAATTCCGACTCGATCTTTGCCCGCATTAGCTCGGCATCCGCCTGGACTTTCGTAGCCGCATCCTCCCTCTGTTGTTGCAGGGTTTGGTGTAGCCTCTGCGTGATCGCCAGGTGCTGTCGGAGGGCAGTATACCTATCCTGCAATGTTTGGCACCTAGAGGCCCAAGTGGCCACCTTGCTCCTCGTCCTGCGCTTGACAGTCTCCACGTAAGACTTCGGTTTTCCGGAACCCGAGTACTTGGATGTCTTGCGATCCAAATATCGCACGAGTGGAACTATCTGCTCGCACAATACTCCTGTTGGCGTCTTCTGCACAGAGTCCGCTTCCTGCTCTTCCGAACTCGTCTCATCCTCTGTTTCGAGGATTTCAGTCGCCACCGAATCTCTTGGCGACTCCCTGGAACTGTGGCGCGCGGCAGCTTCCGCCGCGACTGCCGCTCCACTCCATGCTAAAATATCCAAGGCAGTGGGGGAACCCACTGCCTTAGCCCCTGTTCCGGCTTGATCTTCGGTTCCCGAAGAGGTCGGCGCCGCAGTGACTTTTGTCACCCCTGCACCGCCCGCTTCTACTGCCTGCTCTTCCGGCGCGATCTGCGCGGAAGGTGTCTTCGCCGGAGGTGTGTCCGCCGAAGGCGCCCGCACAATGGTCGTCGGCTCTGTCCGTCTCGCAGTCGGCGAATCTGGCCGACCTTCAGTTGACCGACTCGCAGTCGGCCGACTAGTAGTTGTCCGACTGGCAGTCGGATCCACCCTGCGCGTCTTCACTCCACTTGGCCTGCTTGCTGGAGGCGTTTTCCCGGAAGCGCCTGCTGCCGAAGACGACCCTTTGAGGGTTGTTGGCTCGTCAGCCAAACTCCCTTCAGCTTCCGGCCTGCTATCCGGTTCAACACGTTGCTCAGTTGGCCGTACATCAGTTGGCCGTCCTTCAGTCGCCGACTCGCAGTCGGCCGACTGTCAGTCCGCCTG